TCGATTTACGGTAGCTTTTATATTGAGAAAACAAAATCACCCATATGGATGAACACCCCCTAAATTTAGCAGTATGCGATTTTAGTATGAACACATCCTTCTAATTTGTTATTGTTGTTCTTTGGCTCCAAAGTTTCAAACTTCTCTTTTAGCTCTTTACTTGTCTCACCTTTTAATGGCTTTACATTTTTTATAATCTTACCACTTGACGTGGGAAATGAACAATCAAAAGTTCTGGTTTTATAACTTAAACCCAAATAACCACTCAGTCCAACAAACCAGAAAATTAGGCTTGGAATGGATTGGGCCTACTTTCCTAATCCGGCTGCTGGGGTGTATGGAAATAAATTGTTTTAAAAATGATTAGGTAGGCATCATACAAGCAAGATGTTGGAATATTAATAAAAAAAACAAGATGTTGGCTTGTTTCAATTAGATTTGATCAATTTATTTATGGGAAAATCTATAAAACTGGAAAGACATGATATCAAAAAGGTTTTGACCAATCACAATCCTATGAATTTTGATGAAAACCCATGTCATTGGTTACTACTTTTATGACATCAGTTGATTGGTTTTAAGTTTTTCTAATATCATGTCTCTCTGTCATCATAGTTTATTTTTTTTTTTTTAAAGGAAAAATTCTCAATTAGTACCCTGTATTTTGTGTCTAGTGTCATTTTGGTCTCCGAATTTTAGAATGCGACAATTCAGTATTTGAACTTTTAAAACGTGACAATCCTGTACCTACCATTAATCAACAGTTAACCTGCCGTTAAGTGACATTTGAAAAGAGCACAAAGACCCTTTCAGTGTCATTTAATTTTCTTTATCAATCATCTAAATGTTGACAAATAATTAACAGTCCTAAACCCTTGCTTCTTCCACTCAAAAAAGTTGGAGTTACATTTGATTGGACATTCTAGTGACCCTAATTTTCTTGAATAGAAGAGACAAAGATTTGGGATTATTAATTTTTTTTGTCAACGTTTAAATAGTTGACAATGAAAATTAGATGACAATCAACGGGCATTTATATCTTTTTAAAATTTGGGATTATTACGTTTTAAAAATTCGAATACTAAATTATCCCATTTTAAAGTTCGAAGACCAAAATAACACTAAACACAAACTACAGGGTAAGGATATAGTTGATTTACCGTAACATAATAATAAAATAGAATGAAATGCCTTCCCAAGCTTACCTGGTATAAATAATGTTGCAACGTGATGGCTTGATGTCAAATTTGGATGACCCGACGGCCTGGACCATCTTCACATAAATGGCCCTTTAATGTCAAACTTGGATGCAGTTGGAAATTCAGGGGAATCAGGATTCAGGAATGCCAGCACCCACACAAATTAAATGCATGCAATGAATAATGCAACCTTTAGCCTCTCGTCAATATTCTACCTCTATGGGGTGAAACTTGGGCTGGGTGTTTAAAAACCAGGTTTGGGTTGAGCTCAGGGTTGGGCCAAGATCGGATATGGGCCTTGATGGTCTCGATTGATCTAGACTACTAGACTCAACCCACCAAAATCCACAGACTAGACTATCAGTAATAAAAGGATAAATTTTTTAAATTATCCTTATTGTTTAGTCAGTTGATTAAGTATATCCTTACTATGTCTAATAGTATCCCTATTGTTTTTGACAATTAACTAGTTTTAGCCTTATTGTTAACATCTGTTAATATTTCATCAAAATTCGTAAATACGTGATATATAATTTTTTCAAAACTCAATTTTACCTTTACCATATTCTTCTTTTCAGTAATGGAAAATTGAGTTGGCCCGGTCTTTAACCAATAGTGGTGATAGCCCCCCCCNTCTCTCTCTCCCCCCTTCCCCTTTGTAACTTCGTACAGTGGGCCCCTTCGTTCTCTCTCCTAACATTGGTACATACTCCCTCCCTCCCTCTCTCTCTCTCAACCTGTACCTACAGTGGACCCCTTCATTCTCTCTCTCTCTCCAACTTGTACCCTTAGACGAATATCTTTCAAGACCAAAGCCATGTTTAGAAGTGCATAAGTTAAAAATAAGTACTTATTCAAATAAGCACTTATTTGCATTTGGCACCCAACTTTTTCAAGTGCTTATTTTTTAAAATAAACACTTGGGCGTTTGATAGTCTTTTTCTCTAATAAGCACTTAAATAAGCATTTATGACTATTTTGTCCTTCATTTTCTTTCAAAATTTCAAAATATACCTTTTGAAAGCACTTTTATGAAATTACTTTTATAAAAACACTTTTATGAAAACACTTTTACGAAAGCACTTTTATAAAAGCATTTTTACGAAAATATTTTCATGAAATCACTTTTATGAAAGTACTTTTACGAAAACATTTTTTTGAAAGTACTTTAGTAAAAGTACTTTTATAAAATTCAACTAGGGATAATTTTATAAGTGGTATTTTAAAAAATTGAATAAGTGCTCAATGTATAAACACTTAAAAAATCTGGGAATTTGGGCTTAAAAAATAAGCCCTTATTTTTAAAAGCACTTATTTTCCAAATACCAATAAATGCTTAATGGCCTAAATAAGCACTCCCAAACATGGCGCAATTATCCTCGGGCAAAGGCGGTTGTTGATCAGCTTTTCAGTGTGATTCGAGAGGTAAGCAGCCCCTCTTTGCTAATGGCAATGTTATCTTTCGTATTTGACGTTAGACCATCACCAATACCTCCAAAATCTGTTATCAACCTCACAACCCAGAACCCCTTTCTTGGGTGACGGGATCTGCTCCTCACAAATGGGCGCCTCACAGGCACATCCACCATGCATTGGGAGCATCTCCTATGAATATTCACTAATAAGTATGGGAGATGTTCCCAATGCATGGTTGGATGTGCCTGTGAGGCGCCCATTTGTGAAGAGCAAATCCTGTCACAAAATTGTAAGATAGATTTAAGTAACTACTGCCGCTGGTTAGAGTTGCAACGACGGTGGCAGAGCAGGGGAGGAAAAAAGAGTGTGTGTCCTCGGAACAGGTGAAAACAGTGGCGGCGGTACTCCTTCAACAATTCTGCTAGTCTTGTGCAGTCTACCCGTTAAGCTTGTTAAGGGAAACCCTATAAGATGAATCAGAGGAGCTTTGAATTTGATTTAAGGGAAAAATGGACATTTCTGCCCTTCCGTCAATATTTTAATGGCAATGGTAATTTTTTGAAACAGTAAAGGTAGCATTAGATAATAGTCAAACAGTAGGAGTGCATTAGCTAAATCATATGAATAGTTTAAGAAATTTATCCAAAATTAAATTCAGGTACTTTGATGGATGGATTGAGAGAGTTTGTATTAGTAAAGTGAGGAAATCTGATTAGGTGAATGCTTTAGCTGTGTAGCAGCTACGGAACCAATGACAATGTTCCATACCAGTGATAAAATATATAGGACCCACACTGAGAAATTGAATGATGATAGGCCCCATGTATTTTATGACCAGTGTGGAATATTATTACTGGTTCGACAACCTGCAAAACAGTTAAAGCGTTCAGCTAATCCTATCTCTAAATTGAGATGGCTATTATATCATTCATTTGAGATGGGACTCCCGGAGCTGATGCTTTTCAAGTGATCTTGATGTTCATGGAAAGCAGTTCTCACTTATACGTACACTATTTTTTTCACTCTTACATGCCTCAGCTGCATAATTCATGGACAGACTTGTTAATGGGCTGTGTAACAGGACGACAAAATTTTAGGCCTGTGGGTTTGAATTCAGGCTCTGCACCAAATTTAACTAATTTTCAGGCTGGAGTCGGGCTTTCTTAAATAAGCACAATCTAATAATATTATAAATAATAAAACATATAATATATAATTAATATATCTGTCCAAATCAGACTTTTAAATTAAACATCCATTAAAAACAAAGAGTCTATATACAACTGGGAGGCTTTCTCCACCCTACGGTATCATCAGAAAGAGACTTTGCATGTTTGGGCCTAGACATTTTCTGTTAATAAAGAGAAGCCCGGTCTGGCCCAGCCTCCTGTGAACATAGTATCAAGTTCATTCATTCAATTCAATTGTTTTTATTCACCTATTTTGATCCTTTGAAATAAATGGGGCCTACAATTCTTACGAGTGTAGGCCCCATTTTTTGGGGCCTACAACTCTTCGGTTTCACAGCCTTTTTCTTGGGGTATCAATTGAGAGGGCTACACAATGGCGGTAGCCCATCCCCCCCAACCCAACTTAGGTGCAGGCGGGATTTGATCATAAGGCTGCATTTGGAAACGATGCAAATAAGTAGTGTAAAAGGATTCATATAAATTGTAAAGTTGAATTAGTTTTGCACTGACAAATTTACCTTCTTACCAAACAGATTTTTAGTTGTAATAGATGCAAACATGAATTTTAATAAAGCATATGCTTTTTTTTTATCAAAACCCACTTGAATGCAAATTTACTTCTTTTTTATTAATGCACTTTTACATCTTATTATCAATGTAAATATGCATTAGTCTGTTATTTGTCAATGCATAAATGTAATGTTACCAAAGCAAAAATGAACCAAAGTACAAATTTACCCTGAACTGGGATTTACACTCCATTTGCATTGTTTCCAAACGCAGCCTAAGTCTCCACCATGACCATCAGAGACCTTACCAATCAGCTGACTGGCACCTTGCTAGGTTCCACAGCCCGTTGAACAGCCATAATGTTCACCTAATCCAAGTTTGTCCCGAGCTTTGATCTTCTGCTGCTCGCACCACTGTGTATCGCATGCTATGCAAGCAATCACAAGTGAACATGCAAGTGTTCCTTACGCTGGCATGTGGGCTCCATGTGTACGGAACACTGACATGTTCGATCACAGTTGGTTAACTACTCTGCAGTACAGAGCCGTGCAAGCAGCAGATACCGTTTGTTATTCATGCTATAAGGAAAGCAACTCAACCTGCATCTGAAAAAACAATTCCAATTCCAAACCCATTTCCACAGATACTTTGAAGTTAAGTTCTCCCTAAATTATGAGAGATCAAGAAAAGAAGGAAAAGCAATTTTTATTAGCTCGAATTTAGTATGTACCCTTTACAAATGAGGTTGACAAGAGGGAAAAAAAAAATCCAAACAGCCGAGGTCAACTCAAGGCGAAAAAAAGAATTGAAAGCTTTCCTTCTTAGAACAAATATCACAAGTGTTATCATGTTATGTGGATTTTGCAGATTTTCCATCTTCAGCAGCATGAAAATGTCTGAAATTTAGAATACCAGAGAGACCTCTTCCCTTGGCAAGCTGTTCAATCTCTTCAAGTGTGTGCTTAAGATGCTCTATTTCCTTGGCCAACTCTTCATCTCTTTGCTTCATTGCCTGAAAAGTGAAAAAAAAATGGTCACTGATAAATGGTAACATATTACAAGGAGGATTTTTCTTCCTCACAAAAGGGGTAACGATTATTTAATTAATACGATCACTAGAGTCTAAAAAGATATAAAGAAGAAAAAGAGATTCCAAGCCCATGTATAAACATTATTTCTTAAAACCTTCACTAAAGGGGTAACCATTATTTTGAGTTTTGTAATATAAACTATGTAATAGAAAATATACTGTAAGTGCATGAGCTTGCATTAAAAGCTCGAGCTAAGGCAATATGGAATAATACTGGAAGTCCACCATCTTGGCTAGGGAATGTTTTTTTCCTTTCCTTTTATTTTTAGCCTTAGCCAAGGCTTATGCACTTTGTAATGCCCTTTTATGAATGATATGGAAGTTTTGTTTACCCAAAAAAAAGTTGTGATGATACATTTTGTTTATTTAAGATAATATTTATACATGTAAATTAGACATGCAACTGCATAATACCAATTCAATGAACTGGGAAATCTTAACCAAGAAAAGAATGCAATATAGCTAAAGATTCAGGGTCCGTTTGGTTTGCTGGAATAGGGGTCTGGAATCGGAATCGGAACGGGCTATTCCGATTCCAACTGTTTGGTTGGATGGAATCGGAATCCCATTCCCATTCCTGCTGGAATGGCATTCTCCCATTTGAGGGAATGGCCATTCCCTGCCCCTCCCTTGGGAATGAAATCCCATTCCTGCTGATTTTAATTCCCATTCCCATTCCTGTCTGAACCAAACAGACTATGGGAATGGACCATTCTGATTCCGATTCTGGAGGATTTTGATTTCGATTCCGATTCCAACTACGAACCAAACGGACCCTGAGGGTCCAGATGTGAACTCTAAAGAAATATCTATAGAAATTAGGCCTTAGATTTGTTATTTTTGTCAGTAGCTATTTTACTCATATTTCTCATACATTAAGACACTGCAGAAAAGAAATATGATAAAAAAGGGATAGAATTTAGTGAAATTGACACCAGACATGTGGTAATCACCTTTTTTTTACACCAGATAGTTTCTTGAAACCAAATTAATGATTAAACTGAATTGAGGAGAACCACTTAAGAGTTAAGAAATAAAAAAAGAAAAGAAAAAGATTAACACCTTGCATTTCTTCAATTTTAACACAAGACAACCAAGATAAACTCCACTTGTTAGACTTTTATCAACCTTATCCATACCAATCTAAAGACTTGTAAATAGTCTTAACACCATAATGATATATGAGAAGACTCTACAACATGATAAACTCTTGAAGGAACTTTCTAACAATAGAATTTCAAAATCAATGTTTTAATAAATAAAAAAAGGAAAGAAAGAAATCAAAGTTTTATAGTACGGAGACATTACATGAGGCGTCCTACTACCTGGGGGCATGAGGTGTAGTTCAGAATGCAAGAGGTGTAAGCCTCCCGAGCACAAGGAAGACATAAGCCTCATAAGCCTCCTTAAGAGGAGGGGGAGGAGGATCTCATCCTGTTTTTCTTGGTTCTTTTTTTTAAGATAGATGTTTTGTATTAGGAAGAATGACCCCCNCCCCCCCCCCCAGCGTGTACACCTCTGGCATGTGCCTCAGGGCGTTTTGGGGGTGCCTTGCCTAGAGGTGTACCTCCATGTGTGTGTGTGTGTGTCTCCACACCTTTTAAAACATTGATTAAAATAATTCTTATGAAAATAAATCCTAAAACTATGAGATTCTAGTAAATAACCCCAAAATAGAAATTAGCTTGGAAGGTTTGTATATTTTCCATGTTTTGACTTTAAGTCTCAGATTGCATCTTACTCAGACTCATTGCATAATAGGTCAAATACTCTTTAAAATAATGCCAAAATTTAAGTCTTTGTGCATGATTTTAGTTTATCAAAAAGAAAAGATCAAAGAAACTGTGGAAAGTAGTCTTCAGCAGCTTTTCATTTTTGCACTAGGTTGAAGTTCAATCAGTTGGTGCTTTTTGATAAATGCTGGATAGCTAATGAAACCAAAATATCATTTTGCAGGCTCAAACAATTAACTAGGCTAAGATTTCAAAAATTAGTTATTTCACCTCCACATCAGATGAGTTTAGAAAAGCAAGATCTTGAGAAATTGTTTGGCATCAAAGAATCAGAATATATTCAAAAGGCTATAGTTGAGAGGAAACAGAAAATGGTTTAGTTCATAGACAAGAAGAAAGACATCTACAAGAATCAATAGAGTGACATTTATCAAAGCTGATAAAATTTTGGAACTGGTATTTGATTATACCTGAAAAAATGATTTAAGGAAAAATAAATTTTTAAATAAAAGGCTACTGTTCAAGAAAGAAGAAATGGAACCAAAATAAGTGATTCACAGAAAAAAGAGATGATGATGTCTCAGTTAGAAATGCATAATATTATGTGAAGACAATCTCCATACTATCAGTTTTTGTAAGAAAACTGCCCAAGATCCCTGAAATCCAATTCAGGGTAACCACCCAGTAAGTATAGGCAAAAATCTTTACAACAATTAAATTTGAGACTTCCTTTGCCTTAAATGTTTTATGAAGGTTGTCAAAACTCTTTCCATGGAATAGAGATACGCATTAAAGAGAAAAAGAATATGTTCAAGAATTTAGTATCCTACAGCAAAGGCATATTTTGATATATTAATTGTTACCTCTAGTTCTTGCCTGCGTAATTCCTCCTTCCTAGCTTCAGATCTAGAACTTCTTTGCACCTCAAAGATTAGGGCAGCCCCAGCAACCTAAATAAATGAAGGCATTTAGTAGTGGAACATTAATCTATTATACAATTATAAACCAGTTTTAAGAAGCATGAAGAAGAAAGGTATCTCCTAGGTTGAGAAGGATTGAACTGTATGCAATGCTATTTAAGTCTGTGCTAGAGTCTCTGGCTATCTGATATCCAGCACAAACATAATAAATCACTAGAGTTAGATCATAAAACAGATCAAATTCAATCATTACATGGTGGACTCAGAGTAAGGTGATTATGATCCTTCAAGTGAGTTGGCCCATGGACGAGAAAAATGGGAAACAGCTGCATCCAATGCTGGCATTCAGTTTTTTTTTTTTATGTATTTGATAAATACATCTTCACAACATAAAATAGAACATATACCTGCCAACAAATACACTGCACAGCCAAAGTCTAACTCACCACGAATAGAACCATTTATGTTCTATAAGCACAAAAATACATGTATGTACATGATAACATGTATGAAATAGGGATGCAACTTGGGAGGGCTGGACCAGGTTAAGGTTGGGCCTAGAGGCCCAAGCCTGAGGTCAAGCCCAATCTGTCCAACACAAATCCAACCTGTGCTAATCTTTAACATACTTGGACTAGGTCAGTCTAAGTTGGGTTTGGCTGAGATCCAGCTGAGCTCAGGCCAAAGGTTCTAGGCCCAGGCCCAGCACAAGGAGTGGAAAACCAAGACCAGCACATGAAAAATTTAGGATTGTATTTATCAAAAAAAAAAGAAAAATTTTGGATTGGTTCTGTCCGGGCTCAGGTTGGGCTAATCCAAGTTGCATCCCTAGTATTAAAAAATAATGTCATTACCTGATGTTGGTCTTAGCTATCCATGGCCTTGGGAGGAGTAAACAGGATATGGACCTAACCTTTGGCATTTTTTTGCACAAAGTAGCCAGTTAGCCACTCTCAGCCTCAAACTCACATTATCATACTTGTCAGCACAAGATTATACCATGGCACCAAGCAATGACTGCTATGTATCAAGCAAAAAATATAAGTCTGCAGTTCACTACATATTTGTGGTTTCATGTATCATATTACATTAACGTTGAATATTTTTCCATAAATACCAAAATAAATAGTAGTGTACTCGGGCATGAAGTATACCGTGAACACAAAGAGCTCTCCAAGAAGATCAGCAGAAGCTTGAACAGCTTTTTCTTCGTTTAGAGGGCGGATATCAACATCAGTTGCATGACCATAAATGCGTCTCTGCAGGGTTGTTGTAAACCGATGGTTTGCCTAATAATAGCAGAAGCATTAAGAAAGGCATATATTACAAATCTCAAAGATCAATTTGCAAGACAACCATTGGTATCCAAAGGTAACACTTGAGATAACATGTTTTAACAAAGGATGCAAGTAACAGAGTGTGTGCAACTATAGATAAATAGAGAAGACAAAACAATCACTAACCATGTGACCACTAAAAAAAGGAAGAAACAAAATACAGATGTAAACATAAGCATCATCACCTATTACCAAATCTAATCTACACATTAAAAGGTTCTGCTCAAATAACTTTGGTTATATGGCCTAAAAATGAGGATCTTTACTTCATTCAAGAAAAATTACAAGGTAGGAATAGGATCATTTCAATTCTACAAGTATACAAAATTGAAGTTTGCTGACATGTCTATCAAAGAGATCTGTATCTGATGTGGATTGTTCATGTTTCTTGGTTAGATAAAAGAAATGTTTTCAAATTGAGGAAGCACAATCTTGACATTCTTTGATATGAATGGATGTTAAGATGCAAACGGAAACAGCTTCCTAAGGCTGCATTTGGAAACGATGCAAATATGTAGAGTGTAAAACGGTTCATATAAATTGCAAAATTGGGTTAGTTTTGCACTGACAAATTTACCTTCTTACCAAAACAGACTTTTAGCTGTAATGGATGCAAACATGAATTTCAATAAAGCATATATATATATATATATATATATAGTGAATGCAAATTTACTTCTTTTTTATTGATGTACTTTTACATCTTATTATCAATGTAAATATGCATTGGTCTGTCATTTGTYAATGCAWAAATGTAATGTTGYMAAACACAGGCAAAAGTGAACCAGAGTGCAAATTTACCCTGAACCGGGATTTACACTCCATTTGCATCGTTTCCAAACACAGCAGCCTAAGTGAATATAATCATCAATCATGTAAGACAATGAAAACTTAGTTGAAGATATCATGGAGACCACTTAAAACCAGTAAACCACTACAAAAACAAGGAATATTTAGTTTGGCATAACCATAGCTGTCAAGGAAATTACTAAGCAGGTGCTTGGGAGATGCCTAGTCTAAGTGCCTAGGAGGGGTCACCTCGCCCAAGCTCCTAATTGTTTTTGTACAAGGTGACTTACAATATTTTTCATATTTTTTATTTTGAAATTATAATATTACAACAGACAATGTTCATCATCATCATCATCCATGCCTTACCCAACTATATGAGGTCAGCTACATGAATCCTGTTTTGCCAATCTGTTCTATTTAAAGTCATATCCACCGTTAAACTATTAGTGCTTAAATCATTTCTTACTACTACTCATGTCATTTCTGGTCTACCCCTAGCCCTTCTATCCCCTTCAACTTGTAACGAATTACTTCTTCTAATTGGTGTTGTTGATAGTCTTTTATGCACATGACCAAACCATCTTAGTCTACTTTCATTCATTTTATCACCTATTGGATTTGGGGCTATTCCTAGGTTCCTACGGATAACTTCATTCCTGATCCCTTCCTTTCTAGCTTTCCTGCTCATCCATCTTAGCATTCGCATTTCTGTCACACTCATTTCTGGCCATGTTTCATGACTGCCCAACCTAACACACCTGTTTTTAGTGCTTTTTTTTTTTGAAATATCAATAGAAATTTTTCATTAAATTGAAAAAGAGGTACAGTACAAGAATTTTTGGTTGTCAAGTTGACAAACCGAGCAAAGGTGCTCCAAAAGTTTTCTAACAAATCTGCTTTGTTCACTGTGTTGAACTCTGGGAGCTGTAGCACCCAATCTGAAATCAGATTGCTCACTACAGCTACCAAGTGATCAATGGACTTTGCCTTATCTTTGAAGATCCTTCTGTTCCTCTCATTCCATATAGCCCAGCAAACTGCAAATGGAAGGCAGCTCCACATGATTCTAGATTTCTTGCTTCCTCTGAATTTTGGCCATTTGGAGAGGATTTCTGCTGGGGATAGAGGTTGAAAGGCATTGACCCCAAACAGAAAAGAGAAAAACTTCCAAATGAAATTTTCTGCACTAAAAGAAAAGAACAGGTGCAGAACTGTTTCCTCCTCCAAGTTGCATAAGTAACAGAAGCTTGCCATGTGAAACCCTCTGTTCTTCAAGTGATCTGTAATAAGAATGCTGTCATGTGCTACCAACCAAGCAAATGCATTAATCCTAGGGGGTACTGGATTACCCCATACACCTTTTATCTGTCCTGTCTCCGCACTTTCTCTTGTTATTGCCTTGTAGAACGACTTCACTGAGAATCTTCCTTCTTTGCACTCTTTCCACCAAAGACCATCTCCTGTGCTCCTAGAGATACTTGTGCCTTCTAATTTCTCCAGCAGCAGAATACATTCTTCAACTTCTTGATCAAGTAAAGGCCTCCTAAACTTTGGAGACCAAATCAGCTGCTCCCCTCTCCAATCATAGCACTGATTGATTGTGATTTGCTGCTCAGACAGCCTGTATAACCTTGGATAGACCTCACAGAGTTTCCCTATCCCAAGCCATTCATCTTCCCAAAACCTCACCCTTGACCCATCCCCCACATTGAAACTGACCTGACCCCTGAACTCCTGATTAAATCTCATAATCCCTTTCCAGATGCTTACACCATAAGAGCTCCTTACTTGTCTTGGTTCCCACCCAAACCTTGCTACTCCATATTTACCAACTATCACCCTCCTCCATAAGGCTTCCCTCTCCCTTTCATGTCCAAATCTTTTTTTGATCAACCATTTTCCTCTCCCTCCACAACCATTTACCTAATAGTGCCTTGTTAAAAGGTTTTATCCTTCTCAGTCCTACCCCCC